GTTATTCGATATACCGGGTGGGAAATGAGAATCCATTAGGAGTTTCATTGTCTCCTCCATATCCTCAAGCCTCCTGCCCGTCTCATCGATCATAGATTCCGGTTGGACATGAGTTTTGGATAGGAATTTTTTTATCTTCGATACGTCATTTACGCTATCTACCTGTTCACAGAAAAGTTTCCAGGAGTCTCGTTTGGCTTTTCGAACGATTTTCTTATATTCACCAAGTTTATTACGATACTCATCCCAGTATACTGCGGTCTTTTTACGCCGTGCCCGGTTAAATAGTTTGCGAAGAGTCTTCCCAAGGTTCCGGATCTCCCCAGTTACCCAGGGTTTTTCCTGGGCAGATCTCCGCTCTCGCAGAGGGCAGCTGTCCTCGAACGATTCAACCAGGGCACTTGTGAACGTTTCCACTTTGGCATCTATATCCTCTTTATTTCGACATTGAAAAGTGTCCTGACCTAAACGGTTCTTTAGTAAGGTCCCGAAAATTGTCCAATTAGTTTTAGACTTATTCCGAAACTTTATCGGCTTTGGTGGTGGCCTTAGTATTTTGAATCTTATGTACCGATGATCAGAAAAGGAGTGCTCGTCCGAAACTCTCCAATCCTGAATTTCGTTTATAAGCTCTTCTGAACATATAGTTATATCTAATACTTCTTCCTAAGTTCAATGTTATCAAGTCTTTAGTATTAAAGAAATCCATGAGGGCTTGTCCCCTGCGATTGGTGTTTGTACTACCCCAAGCTACATGGTGCGAGTTGGCATCACAACCTATTACAATTTTCTCATTTTTCCTTTGTACCTCTTCAACCAGTTTCATCAGATCCGACGTTGGTGGTAGTGTCGGAGAATCGAAAGGCAGGTAAATAGATGCAAGGAATATGTTGCCACGACCTTGCTTCAGCACCGTTGCATCCGATGTTGATAATCCTGTTGAGAGGAGAAAACATAAGTTCTTGTGACATAAGATACATGTTCTCGGGCGAGATCCTGTATCAGCGTAGAAAAGTTGGAAATTTACGTGATTTAATCCAGAAACCTTGTTGCGAATCGTCCAAGGTTCCTGGATTAAAGCTATATGTATTTTACCTGTGTTGATTTTAGCCATTTTTAGTGTCCTTTTCGAGGCTAGTTGTAACAGCCCTTCCAATCGGCACCTTCCCAATTTTGAATATGACAGATTTGGAGGCGAAGTAAGCCCTACCTTTATTCTTGGCAAGACTAGCCATGGATTTCTGGCAACTTACACTTACATTCAAATAATTATTTAAGAAAAAATTGCATGTTTCATATTTTAAACAGATAGGCCCGATAGTGGCCTAGGTGTATTTCTTCGGATTTGATGTAATATATATCCTCCTATCAACCTAATCTAACCTATTTTAACTGATGAAATGTTTGTAATGGATGAAAGGAGCCATATCATGCATGTTACTTTTAAACATTCAATTATTTTAAATTAAAAATATATCATCGCTTCTAGAAACAAACGTGTGACTTTGGATATATTTAAATAAAGAGCCTTTGTCTTTCGACGTTGCGTCGTGTAAATTAAAAATTATGAAATCTCACTTCTGAAACTATTGTTGCACATCAAATGGTGTTATTGAGAAAATCAATCCATATTAAAATCTTTATTTCTAGTTAAAGCCTATATCCGTAATTAGATTTGTATTTTCGGATCCAATAACATTTAAAAACTGCTTCATTTAATGCTATCAATTCTTCATGCACATAGATTGATTTAAAAATATGAAAATAATAATATATAAAATTTTGTATGAAAAACACTCAGCACACAAAACTACTCGGTTAGTTTTAATACAACATTTTAAAAATTGTTTTCTTTTCAGAATTCGGGCATAAATGAAATAAGGCCCAATAAAATTAAATAAAGTCTAAAAATATTCTGTATGAAATAAATCCCAAATTTTTGCAATTTTATTTGGGTGTTATTTCATAATGAAATAATTCCCAATAAAAAAATGAAACAAAGCCCAATAAAACGAAATAAAGGCCAATTTTTGATTTTTTAAATTTTATTGGCACTTATTTCATTATCCTAATTGGGCGTTATTACATTGGAAGTTATTTCGTGTCGCCCTTAAAAACTACAACAGCTAGATTGTCAAAATTTTGTATGAACAACTTTTACATCCATATGAACATAGGTTGACAAAATGGGCAGCCTAGCTACAAAAAAAATAAAAAAAAATCTTAAAGTAGTATATCTGAAAAAGTATAACAGCTAGAGTTCTCAAATTTCGGAGCCTCTTTAGTATCGACATGAATATTTAGGACAAATATTTGGCGGACTAGCAATATGGCCGTGGCACTCCGCATAGGGATTACATACTAAAATTCATTTATCTGGGAAATTATAGCAGTTGGAATCTTAAAATTTTGCACGAAGACCTTTAACATACATGTGAATATTTGGGAGAGAAATGGAGGGCTTACATAATTCCCAAATGAATTAAATACAAAAACATGTGAACATTTAGGTAATAAATTGTCGAATTAGCAACAGGGAGCGTGGCACCTCTCATATGAATTAAATACAAAAAATTCTAATATATTTATGTGGGACGTCATTGGAGCTATAATAGGGGCGTGGCACTTCCCATATGAATTATATACAGGGTAGCAAAGCACACTGGGTATATCTAGTTGTATATAAAATAAATGAATTTAAAACAAAAATTCTATATTCAATAATTATTTAACAGATTTTTTCGCTGAAATAATAAAGCATGAGCACTTTAGCACTTTATTTTGTCCGTATAGTATAGTGGGGTCAATTATAGACCAATCCCGATAAAATTTGATAAAGAGTATTTTGCTAGCACAAAACTTGTATATGTAGAATTTCACTGCTGTAATCGCATTTTTGAGTCAATAATGAGCGTTAAAGTCATTTTCTGAAGGGGACCTTATAGGCTGATCCTCATAAAATTTAGTAGAGAGTTTTTGGCTCACACGAATTTTGTTTGTGGCGAATTTCATCGCTGTACTCGCAGTTTTAAGCTAATAAGGAGAGTTAAAGTCATTTTTTGAAGGGGACCTTATATGGGGGATAGGATCAATTAAGGACCGATCCTTGTAAAATTTGATAAAAAGCTTTTGGCTCCCACAAAACTTGTTTGTGTAGAATTTTACCGCTGTACTCGCATTTTTGAGTCAGTAATGAGCGTTAAAGTCATTTTCTGAAGGGGACCTTATATGGAGGGTAGGGTCAATATGGACCCCATCCCCATAAAATTAAAGAAAATGGTTTTGGTTCCTATACAACTTTTTTATGACGAATTTTATTACTTTATATGCTTCTTAAGGTCAGATATAAGCATTAAAGTAATTTTCTGAAGGGGATCTTATATGGAGGGTAGGGTCAATTATGGACCGATCCTTATAAAATTTTACGAAGAGATTTAAGTTCCTATAAAACATGTTGCTGTCGAATTTCACCGCTATAGATGTTTCTTGTAGGCAGTTATGAGCGTTAAAGTCATTTTCTGAAGGAGACTTAGTATGGGGGGTAAAGTCAATTATGGACCTATCATTACAAAATTTTACAAAGAGATGTAAGTTTCCATAAAACATGTTTGTGTTGAATTTCACCGCTATTATTTTAGCCAGTTGTAAGCTATAAAGTCATTTTCTGAAGGCGGCCTTATATGGGGGCTAGGCGAAATAGTAGACCGATATTGCCCATTTTCAATACCAAGCAAACTGCATCAACTAAAATTATTTGTGCAAAATTCAGCTCGCTAGCTACTTCCATTTGGACTTATCGTGTTTTCAACAGACAGACGGTAATGGCTAGATCGTCTTGGAATTTTATAAGGACCCAGAATATATACACTTTAATGGGTCTTACACGAATATTTCAATGTGTTACAAACGGAATGACAAAAACATATACCCCCATCTTTTTTGTTGGTGGGTATAAAAACGGTAGTAGCCACATTTAATACAAAAGCCCAAAAATAAAATTTTTTATCTCATAAAAATGTAAGAACAAAAAATATATCTTCAGGATTGAAAAAATAGAATTATTTTCGCTTCTTCGAAAGTCTTTAAACATCAACTCCTCAGAAGGTAAAAAGAATCACTTAGTGCTACTTCTGAAGAGGTGATAAATGTGATTCTTTTGGAAGTACTTCGTTTTATTTTTGCTGGGAAAAAACGATTTGTATGTTGTTGTTTACATTATTTTGCAATGTTTTGGTAGTGTACATAGGGGGTATATAAAATCAAATATATTTCGATCTAGATTGAATTTTGAAAAACGGAAAAAACTGTTTGCGTAGATTATATTGATGATTTTTATATATTAATTTCAACGAATTATATTAAGTTCATCTGTGTTAAAATGCAAAAAATCTGAAAATTTCCCGAAAAATTAGAAAATTTCGACTACTTTGTTAACATGTTGTTACGAAAAAATTTCTGATATGGAATTTAAAGCGTATCTCAAAGACCTTTCTAATGATAACAATATTACATATCTTTCCATTGGAAGAAATATGAAAAAAAAACATAAAAACCTCAAAAAAGGAACTGTTTATTCTTTAATCCAGCTCACCAAATATTGACGTCAGGACAAACATTTTGAGAAATGGTATCTTAGTATCAATTAAACTTTAATTTTAGTCGGAAAAGTTGACACCTTATTTTTCCTCCCTAATGTATATATGTAGGTATGTAATTTCAATGAAGAACTTTTTTGGTTATGTCATATGTATATATAAATTGATTATGTCTTATAAATTTTAATATATTTCATTTACAAAATCACAAAACTCGCGATTAATTCGTTTTGACTCGAATCGCGGGTATAAATTTAAAACTCTTATCGCGAGCTTAATTTTTAAACTCGCTAGTCAAAAAGATTTATTCATTATTTTTGAATTGAAATCGCGCTCCATACCCTGTAGAAAACTTTATTGAACAATGTGCAAAACAAATTTTGTAAGTTAAAATGGTATTATTACCTTTTCTGCAAAACGAGCATATTTTCCTTCCTCTGTTATGTAATCACTGGCACATCTCTTCAAATGACTAACTAAATATTTACGAATAGTTTTAACTGAAGGTAAAACTACACTGCATACTAATGATAACAGCGCCCAATGGCGAAGATTAACCCTTGAATTGGGATCCGGATGATCAGTTGTTTGTTTTATAAGTTGCAAATAAAGTTCATTTATCAGTGACTCTTTTCGCATACATTTATCCATGATTGATTGTACAATAGTAACATGTTCATCTTCAGCTCTTTGCACTGTATCACCTATAAAAAAGGAAAGAAAGCCAGAACAGTAAAGGATGTCATTGATATTGATTGATGTCAATCGATGCGTATTAATGTACTAAACACGAAAAAAATAAACAAATATTTTTTCAAATAGTCCTCAGTTCCCAGCGATTGAAAACCAAGACCTCTGTATAATTTTTGAAAAATAAAATATCTTCGATTTTTTGAAATGGGTCTCATAAATTTTGTAATTTTGAGCTGATTACGGGAAAAATAATCTTACAATTTTTGTAGAGTATTTTTGGTCCACAAAATGAGTGGAATATTATTTTCGCTTTTTATCGAAATATGTGTCAAAATTGTCCTAATTTTTGGCTTATACAGACATAAACTACGTTTTAGTTTTTCATTACGTGATCCTTTGTCCTTTCTAAAGGACTTCAAAGTTTTAAAGAAGTTAATTTTTCCAAAAATATTTTAAAATACTTCTACTGATCAAACAATGCCAAATTTGATGTCAAAAGAACAAGAGTTGGGAAAAATTTTGTATTATTTTATTTTGTACTGTCAGAATAAAAAGATGTTAAAAAAGTATTTTAACATTTTTATCCTTTAATATCTTTTTTCACACGTAATTTTGAAGGTCATTTTTGACATCGTTTGATCCTGACAGAATAAAATAAAAAGAAATAAAATATTTTACAACTCTTCTTGGTCATTCGACACCAAATTTGGCATAGTAGTTTAAGTAGAAGTATTTATATAAATTTGAAATTTTGAAGTACTTTTACAAGAAATAAAAAGCTGTGAAAGCAGCTTTGCTTCATTTAATCTCTAGTTTCAGATTTATATGATCTTGTTCGTGTCTAATTTTTTCCAGAAATCCCTACGCTTATAAGAAAAAAAATCCCTTTTTTTCCTACATCAACTTTTTAGTTTCCCTACTGATATCTCGAATCCTTCCCCAAAATTTAAAATTGTGGCTACACAAGAATAAAGAGCATTAAATTGTATGAAATATTGGCTTTTAAAATGCAAACTTTTATGCATAAACAGCTATTTTATAAATATTTAAAAATGTTAAAATATTCATTATCAACCGTTCTCACAACAAACAATTAACTTGCCAGGAAAAACAGTAGAAAACATTTTTTTTATGAATTATAAAACAGGAATCCTGTTTTATTTTTTCAGTTACAAACCATTTCAGATCATACTTCCTATCAAAAAAGAAAAAAGTTAATTATATCCCACAGCACTATAGTGGTTTATCTATGTCCGTCCGACTGTTCGTCCATGTAAAATCAAACTACAAGTCGTAATTTTCCAGATAATTTGATGAAAATAGGCTCATATGTTTCATTTTACCCAAGGACGAAGTTGTTTGGAAATGGATTAAATCGGTCCATTATTCCCCTAGCCCTCATACAACCTGACCTTCCGATTATCTCACCAAAATTTGACACAACTAAGTTTTATATAGACATAAATGCGCACAAGGTTTACATGGACAGCCAGCCAGCCGGACGGACATGTCTTAATCGACTCAGAAACATCAGCACCCCACTATAGTTGTGTAGGGTATAAAAAGAAATCAAGTGAGTGAAGATAAATACGCCGGGTTAAATACGTTTTTCATGTAAGAGAAAAAAAATATCGCATGCGATAAAAAAGTATTTAATACTTGAAATAAGCATATTTTCACATAATTATACAGATTTTTACACATAATTTCAAAAATAATGTACATATGAGCAATTATCAAAGTTTTTTAATTCCTTTGAAATTGAACTAAATTGTTAATAAAATTGGTAAGAGTGAAATGTGAAACAAATTTTTTACAGGATTATATATAGTGTTTATAAAAAACCGACTTTTGGAAAAACCGGTTTTTCGGTTAACCGAAAATTGACCATTTCTAGAAAACCGGTTTGTCGGTTAACCGAGTATAAAAAACTGGTTAAACCGGTTAACCGAAATGTTTGGAAATCTTTAAAATATTATAATATTTAGTTGAAAAATTTCATTTTGCGAAATATTATGAATTACTTAATAAGATATTTGCACTTTTTAGTAAAGATATGTACATTAATATATCATAAGAAAACAAACTTATATAGATCTGAAGATATAATTGATTCGTTAGGTATATGGAAGTTGCCATAGGAGGGATAAATTGACCTTTGAATATATAATCCATCTATATCAATAGCAAAAATTATGTCCAGAACTATCAAGTATAAAGAGTGTTCAGGCTCGCGACGATTCATCGGGAACGATTCATCGGGAACGGCTCGCTACGCCTGTGGTTGTTCAAATTATTGTGAATGACGCTTAGGAATATTGACAGGTGTCATTCTGACTTCCTGTCAATCAACCTAAGCGCCATTACAGTTTGTGAAAAACCCCAGCAGCATAAGTTCTCGGACGGCAACAACAATCTTTATGTTTCGATAAATAAAGTCCGTTTTGAGAACGTTTGAGAAACTTCTCGATTTTTATTATACTCACGCAGTAAACAAGTAAGTGCATCCTGAATTTTATCATCAATGTTATTTATCTTAATAAATAAAAAATTTCTTCATATAATGGTTGGAATTTGTTTAAATAGTTAATTTTTTATTGCTTTAAATGCCAACTTTTTACTAATTTTCTGATTGTCTGAAATTGCAAATCTCCATTTTATATACATAACATTTGTTTAACAATCTTAGGTCTCTTTTCATATGCACAAACGGAAAATAATATTTATAATTATCTATCCAAAAGTTTTAAAAATCACAATAAAAAATCAAAGAAAACATACAATTTTGTACCAAAAATTAGATTTTTTTGAAACCGGTTAACCGAGACTTAAAAACCGGATAACCCGGTTAACCGAAAACAAATGTTTAAAAAAAAAAAACGGTTTGCGAAAACCGAAATATGCAATAAAAACTGGTTTTTCGGTTAACCGGTTTATAAACACTAATTATATACACAAGATTTCCAGCCTTCATTTCTAAACGTAATCGGTTTTGAATGTTTACAAAATTAAAAACAACGCGTGTCACTAACTACTTTTTTCACCTTCTTTTTATTTCTTGGTCCATAGCTTTAAACTTTTGGACACTATTCGTTATAGTGCTAAGTAAAGACACTTAGGAGATAAATTCTTTACAAGCTTATCCGTGTGATATCACTTTACATATTAGAACTTGGATGTTGAAATTTGTCACCAGGTTTTTTTCAATTTTGATTTTTTTACAGTTTGTTTGACCGGGCGCTGACGCCCCTTAATAAAATACAAAAATTGGACAACAGTGGTTAGATGATGTAATTATACACAGTATGGTATATATCTCGTTAATGTGCCCTAAATGGGAAATGGGTACGACAGCTACAAAAGTTGGTAAACTTGAACGTAAATTTTTTAAAATATCCGATTTTAGCGCGGCACATTCGCACTTATATAGGAAATAATTTGAATTCTTGCGTAAATTGAGTTTTTTGTTATTTTGAAATATAAAATCGGAGGAGCATGCAAAAATTTTATGAACTTTTTAAAAATTTTGCAAAATGACTTTTTTTTATTTTTGCGATTTTATTTATTTAAAATGTCCTTGTGAGCTACAAAGCCGTCACTTATATCTAAACACATTTTGCTAAGGCAGACCATGGATGATGCTCAAAATTCGTCAAAATTATCACCATTTGCAAGTTTTCTTAATACTTTAATGTAAAACTGGGGCGCATAAAAAAAGTAAAATAATTGTAGGTTTTGTGGGTCAAATAAAATTTACCTAGCATCAAAAAGCATCACTCTATAAATATTTAATTCCTTCAAACTATAATTTTTTAATTGCATTCCCTTATAAATCAAGCTCGTAGAATTCAGATATTAACACTTTTTTTCTTTTTTTTGGAATCTTTCAAAAACTAAAAGCAACAAGTTAAAAAATTACTGAAATGAAATTTCTTACTGAGTATTCTTAAAATTTGTTAAAATAAATCTTATGGTAGCTATTTAATGCGCTAAATTTGAATTATTTTTACAATAATGTGCAATTTTTTTTTCAAATATTACATATATAAATAGAATTATTAAGAATTTTTTAAATATTTAAGTGAAAACCGGTATAACTTTTGCGGCCCTCGATCAAAATGATTAACGCGAACTGATTCATCGCGTATTAGGGTCGGTTTATATTCACACAAAATATTTTGAATGTGCCATCAAAAAAATGTTTTGATTTTTTTAATTCTAAAATTAAAAAACTTTGTAGTATATATATATATATATATATATATATTGTTATTACTTGTTTTATATGTTGTTGTTGATACTACAAACTAATTTCAATGAGTAAGAAAATAGGAGATGCCGTTTTTAAGATATCGTTGACACAAAGACATTTTTTTTATAATTTTCCTTATTTCAAAACCATAATATTTTAAATAGAATATTGTCAAACTACAACACATAGGGATTAATTACAGTGAAAAATGATTAAAATCGGATAAATATGTAAGAAAATCTACTATACCAAATTTAACCGTTTTTAGAAAAACTCTTAACCGTGACGAATTTAGAAATTTTGGAGAACCTTAAATTTTGTATGTATGGAAATAATGTGTGTACCGATTTTCATCAAAATCAGATAGGATCATGTTCAACATTTTTTTAAACTACTCTGGGAAAATTTTCCTGGAGATAGCTTAGCTTAAAATGGAGTAAATAAGATTCTATAAAATGACTTCTTGGTACTTTTCGTTCTTCAAAAGATATTTTTTGAATTTTCTAGAAACATGAAACTAAGCATGTAGAGCCAGGAGTAAGTGAGAACATATAAAAGGTACCAAGAAACATAAAATTAAACACCAAGAGCCCTAAGTTAATGCAAATCTGGAGGAAAGAATTTTTCGAATTTTTCTTTCTATGACTGGCACTTTATGGCTTTTATGCACATTCGCAGCAGCGTGATTGAACGAAACTCTTTAAAAAGGGACTTTTTGTTTTACAACTGGGATTTTTTGATTTTTTCTAATAATTTTTTGTATATAAGATTCGGTACCGCCGAATATAGAACTCTTACATGTTTATATGGAATTTTCATTTCTATTGAATTGGGTTTAGAATCTTAATTTTGAATGGTTTTAGGTAATGAAGTTTAGTGCTGAAGTTTTGTATTCGTTATATCGGGTACAAAATTTACACATTCATTCGTAATACAAGGTACTCAATTGAAAAAAAATCGCTTTCGTTAAATCCCAAATTCGCTAAACTGAGTATTCGTTAATCCGGGAAACCACTGTATTTTCATTGATATCATGTAAATTGTAAAAGAAAAGTGTTGTTACAAACCTGAAATTCCAAGTCCCGAATATGTTAAAATCGCTTGAAAGATTTGCACCATAACTGTTTCTTCTTGATCTGATAATTTACTCAGACTTTGGGTTATTTGAATTCTACTAAAAGCCCAATACGAGTGTGGAAATCCTTTGTATGTTTCTCCATGTTCTTGAACATTATTTCCTTGTTCAGCTCTTAATTTCTCCAAGCGATGTTTTGACAATCTTCTTAAAGTATTTCTAAAGAAACCGCCTCCAGATTCTTGAGGTTTTCTTAATATTTCCATATCGATTAGTTGTCTCCTACAAACAACAACATTCTGGTACAAACGAGCACGATCCTCATTTGTTGTTCCTTTACTTTTCTTAGAAACTTCAAAACTGTTCATAATCCAGTTGGAAAGTGGTGGATAATACGATACAATAAGTGATCCGATTTCATTTTTCTGTAGTGTTTCAAATACGAAACATCTTTGTGCTTCTAGTGAAATATTTGAGTCTTTAATATTTGGCTTATTAACTTGCACATATTGTCTGTTTAACGTAAGAGTTATAAAACTGTCACTGGGATCTAACATAATGGACTCAATATCAATGTATTTAAATTGATATAGTATAAATTTATCTTCAGGCTGAATAAACATGATTCCTTCATAGTTAACACCAAAAATTATGTTACTTCCATGACTCCAAAAACCTTTATATATAACATTAAACATCGTTGTGCCGTAAAGTGGGTATTGCATAACACAACTTAAATATAGCACCTTGGCAGTTAATTCATTTCTGGACGCTCCATATTGGCGATGTGCTTGTGCTAAAATGGGAATCCAAAATTCTTGTTCTCTTGTTTTTGAAATTCTTTCTGGAAGAAAGTTATTAATATCAATATAATATTCCGGTTTGGGCTGGTTTGACGGATCACCTAAAGCAACTTGAGCTTGAAGTCCAGCAAGTTGAAGAGCAACTTTTTCACTAACTGGAAATTCATCACACTAAGGAATAAAATACAATATTGAAATATTTATGAACATATATAGAGTTTGTAATAAAAACGACTTTTAAAGAAATTAAATTTTCGGTTATTCATTTAAAAAAAAAAAAACTATTCAACGAATAGTTAGTTAGTTAGTATAAAAGGAGGATGTATATTAGAGTGGGTCGGTCTCTATGGACAAAAAAAGTCGTGTCAGTCACCCCCTAAAATTAAAGATATGTTAATAACATTTTCTAAAATATAAAAAATATTTTTTTGCCACGCCTAGAAATACCGCCCTTTTTGTTTTTCATATATTACGTCGTCATTTTAAGTCCGATCGTAACATGTGATATGTATATCAGTGTTTATGGCTCGACTGTAGCTACATTTAAAACTTAAGCTATTTTTTATTTAGACGTAGTGGGAAAACTTTTTTAATGAATTATAAAACAGAAATCCTGTTTTATTTTTTCAGTTACAAACCATTTCAGATCCTACTTCGTATCAAAAAATAGGAAGGTTAATTATATCCTACAGCACTATAGTAGTTTAGCTATATCCGTCCGACCTTGTAAGCAAACTACAAGTCGCAATTTTCACAAATAATTTGATGAAAATAGGCTCATATGTTTAATTTTATCCAAGAACGAAATTGTTTGGAAATGGATTAAATCGGTCCATTATTCCCCTAGCCCTCATACAACCGTACTCCTCGAATAGGGCTTTGGAACTCTTAATTATGGCTTCAAGGTTGTTAATTCTCCTTAAACGCTACTGAAATTCTACATATCTAACTCCTGTATGAACATACATAAATCCCTCCACCAGATTTTGATAGCATCGGTCCATAATTGATCCTAGCTCCTATATGTAGTCTCTTTCAGAAAATCAGTTTTTCATCAATAAATTCTATATTCATATGGTCCGACAATTCATTTTTATTAGTTTTAACTATTTTAAGAACTTCTTTAAAAATATGTAACTATTTAAAAGAAAGGTTAATTTATCATAAAATAAATTTATCACATTTTATAAAAATTAGTATAAACATTTTTCAAAATTATTTAAAAAAACAAGAGTAGTTGTATGGAAAAAACGTGAAATGTTTTTTATAAAACTAAGCATAACTCTTTAATTTTTCATTAAATTTTATGAAATAAAAAGTTTAGTTTTATGTACTTATATGATTTCGTTATTGATGCTGAATAAGATAATCTTTCTTGTGTTAAGATAGGGGAGTCATTCCAAAGTCACTTCGAACACCATGAATTTTTAATGCCTTTGATTTGGCTAAAACTCGGATCATACATTCTTCTCTTAAATGCGCTTTCTATAACGTATAAATTGGATCAGTAATATATATGGTTAAAATTTTATAGCGCTCCAAAGCGCTCCTCGAGCATTTTTGTGAAAATTTAAGAATGTTTGCGACTGAATAAATTTGGAACCAGTCATCCGATTTTAACAATTAAGGTATCGTTCGATAGGAATTCAATTACACATTATTAACATTTTATAAAAATACTTGAGGTCCTGGCACAAGGATCTTGAAAATGGGAAAAGATCCTTTATCCTTGAATATCCTGAGAAATGGTATTTTAATTTTCTTTTTTTTTTTAACAACAAACAGATAAAATAATTATCAACGCGATGTCGAAATTTGATATTGGGATCTCAATGGGTTCGGAAGTTATGGCAGTTTTTATATAGCTATATTCACAATTTGTTAGACATTTTAATACATTTGCATTTTAATCAAATAAAGTTTTATTGCCAAATAAAGTAAAAATAACTAAAATGTATGTATGTATGGGTTCGGAAGTTATGGCAGTTTTTATATAGCTATATTCACAATTTGTTAGACATTTTAATACATTTGCATTTTAATCAAATAAAGTTTTATTGCCAAATAAACTAAAAATAACTAAAATGTATGTATGTATGTATGTATGTGTATGTATGTATGTATGTATGTATGTATGTATGTATGTATGTATGTATGTATGTATGTATGTATGTATGTATGTATGTATGTATGTATGTATGTATGTATGTATGTATGTATGTATGTATGTATGTATGTATGTATGTATGTATGTATGTATGTATGTATGTATGTATGTATGTATGTATGTATATGTATGTATGTATGTATGTAAATATGTATAATTTGAAATTTAAAATCCTATTATTTAGTAAAATAGTTTGATCCTATTTTTAAAACTGTCAAAAAATAACAAAATCTGTATATCATTGAAAATATTGCAATCTTTTTACACTGCAAATATCAGTTTAAAATTTTGGTATAATTGTAAATGTGTTAAAAATTATGAAATGAGTTCATTAAAATTCAAGGAATGTTGTAATCCTTTGGGATTAAAACATAAAAAAATTAAACTTTCTGACTTAAGACCTGTGCCAGCGTGGATTAGTAGTATTTACGTCGACATTGAACAAGATTCAAAAATATGTTCAGCGTGTAGGAGTAGAATTTGTGACCAAAACAAAGAAGAAATCGCCACTAAAGAAGAGAAGGCGGATGTTGTTTTTATTCCAACAAAGGATGCATTAGAACACCTTAACCAATGTTTGCAGCTAATTGGGGAACCAAAAATAATAATTAAAGACAGCAACTTTGAAAAATATATACGCTACAAGCTTGAAAGTGCAAAAAAAAGTATTTTAAAAAAATTTTTTGGATATGATGATGAAAAAATTCATGATAGTGTAATAGTGGAGGCAATAAAAGAAATTCACAATGAAAATAGTGAAGTAACTGTAAGGAACGCCTGCGTAAATATTTTAAGCCGGCAGTGGCCAAATAAACGCATTAAAAGCGAATTGCCGACTACTACATCCAATTATGCCATAAATAAGGCCAAAACACTTTCCAGAATGAGCATTGGAGATAAAGAAAATGCATCAAATTCCGCTTTAAATGTAAATAATATAATTTTAAATTTCTACTGCAGTGATGAATATAGTCGTATAATGCCAGGGAAAAAAGACTTTAAGTCTGTCGAGGTATATTTTTTTTTTTGCCAATCAAAATCTTTAAGCTCATTATTTTTCAAGGTTGATGGAAAAAGAATCCATATACAAAAGAGATTGCTGCTTTCAAATTTGAAAGAATTGTACGACGAATTCAAGAAACAGTATCCGGAAATAAAAGTTGGATTTTCAAAATTTGCATATCTAAGACCAAAACATTGTATTTTAGCTGGAAGTAGCGGAACACATTCCGTATGTGTATGTGTTATTCATCAAAATATTAAGTTAATGTGCGAAGCAATTTAAAAAAAAAATGTTAATGACTTGGACTTAGGTGATTATCATATGTGGATTAATCTTAGTATCTGCAAAGAACCACAAACATCGTGTTATATGCGAGAGTGTTCAAACTGCCCTGACATTAAAAATTTAAAACAAATAATTCAAAACTATTTTGATATCTTTAATATGGAACATGTTCAGTACAAAATGTGGACAGCAACTGATAGATCTGAGCTTGTCACAAAACTGGAACACGTAGATGATTTCATAGATATTTTTCTTGAAAAATTGCCAAAACTCATAAAACATTCATTTATTACTGATAAACAAAATAGTTATTTTAATAAAGTCAGAGAAAATTTGAAATGTGATGAAATGTTAGTAGTCCTGGACTTTTCAGAAAATTATAGTTTCATAATTCAAGACGAAGTGCAGTCGTACCACTGAAGCAACACTCAAGCCACAATTCATCCTTTTGGTATTTATTACATGGAAGAAGGCCAGGTCAAGTTTACAAATTGCATTATAATAAGCGACATTTTAAAACATAACACGGATGTCGTTTAGTATTTTATAAAAAAATTTTTGTACTTTATAAAAGAAAATGTTAAATCTCCTTGCAAAATATTTTATTTTTCCGATGGCTCTGCCGCTCAGTACAAAAACAAATTAAATATGTATTACCTCACATGTCATAAAAATAAGTACAATATTGATGCTGAGTGGAACTTTTTTTGTACAGCTCATGGCAAAAATGTCTGTGATGGATTAGGTGGAACCGTTAAAAGATTAGCTACAAGAGCAGCTATACAAAATAAAGATACACCAATAACATCACCATATTTAATGTACAATTGGGCGAAAAATAATATAAATAATATAAATTTCATATACGTTTCAGAAGAAGAATATTTGCAAGAAATGGAAGTGTTAAATATTAATTGTCCAAAACTTAAACCTATTCCTAAAACACAGTCAGTCCATCATGTTGCCCCAGTCAGTATTGGCCAAGTAAAGACAAAATACTTTTCAGAATCTTATATATATAATACATTCGACATCTGTAAATAAAAAAATAATTTGCGTTTGTAATAAAATTTATTATGAAAATTAAAAAAATAAGCTTTATTTTGAAAAATTGAGAGGTTGCTTAATAAAACCTGTTATAACTTTTGAACCCATTAAGATCCCAAACTGTAATTTTTATGCAAGATAGGGTTGCCAATTGACTATATCCTGTAAAAAAAATAATAAAATAAAAATAGCATTTTTGGGATATTCAAGGATAAAGGACATTTTTTTTAAATTACCTTTTTTCAAGAGGATATCAAGTTTCTATAAAGGATTAATATAGAAAAACAAGTCAAAAATTAACAAAAAATTACAATAACTGAAAAACTTCTGATGATACAAAAAAATTATCTGTAATTAAAATGTCATAAATTTGATTCTCTACAAATTTTGTTATGACTCCTAAACCCGTAGGAGGCATAAAAAGGGGGATATTTGTAAAAAATGTATTATTTTGACCTTTGACCTCTAATATTAAGTGTAGTTAAGACTTGATTTCAGATTATTTTATCCATAATATTCCTAACATCAAGATGATAATTTGCGGTAATTTTTACACTATTCGGCATTAAAACATTTATTTGAGTGAACTAAAAATAGATTAAAATCAGTGTGACCAGGTCTCAAAAAATGTTGCGGCTAAATCCCATCCAAAATAATGCTAGAAAAAAT